CCCACCTGGCCTTGCCCTGGGAATCCTTCCTCCCCTAGGCCAAATGCTGGGGCAGCTCTTCCTTTCCTCCTGATGCATGTTTGGACAAGGCCCCTCGGCACCTGGAAGCAGGGTCAACCCATGGCTTGAAGTCACTGTGTTCTCCTAGGAAGTGCTATAAAATGGGGTAATGGAGGCTACCTATCCAATAGGGCTGTGCTCTACTACAATCCCCCAATGTGCAGATGAGGAAACTGAGGCACAAAGCAGTAGAGGCTTTCCCCAAGGTCACAAGCTGACAGTTGGGTCCTGCACAGCAGGCCTGACATCTAGGCAAGGCTGCTCTGAGGGAGCACAGTCCAGGGCGATTTAACCAATTTCTCTGCTGCAGGATTTCCCCAAGCCTGGGACTTCCCCAGGGGCCCCTCAAGAATGCCATGACTCTCGATTGTTTCCACAAGGTAACGTCAAGGGCAAGTGCTCCACAAAACACACCTTGGGAAACACTAAAACTGATCCAGGAAGAGAGCATCCTCATTAAGAAACTGTTACATCATTGGGGGTAACAGAACTGTGGACTCCAGGCAGGGGTTAACAGGGAAGGAATCTGTTCTTCCACAAGGAAGGGTGCACAGCTACACCTGACCGACAACCCTTTCTCTTCTCACAGGCCCATAGCTCCTGGACCCCACAATGTCAATGCTCGTCCAGGGACTTCGGCACCACCCTGCCAGGCCCTCATCCACAGGGCCTTCCTTCGCGGTCCCCCACCCAATCTTCCAGCCTTGCAACAGCCAAAAGCCGTAAGCCGAAATTTCAGGCTGAGTCTGATTGTTAGGCAGTAGACTTCAGGCTCTCCAAAGTTCTATTTGTCGCCGTCTGTGCCCTTCAGGGGCCAAAAGTTAAGGGATCAAGAGAAAATAAACTTACCACTTTGTGGAGCTACAGACTGGCTCCCATTTACAGGAGACCCATTAAATGCTGGATGCTATGTGCCCATTATTGCCCCTCCTCATAAGGGTCCTACAAAGTAAGCATCATTATGCTCTTTTTACAGAAGAAGAGATCAAGGCTTGACGTAGTTGCCAGACAAAGATGCCCTGCTAATAAATGTGAGATCACGATTTGCACTTGGGTCTGATTGCAGAGTCTCTACTCAAGTGTGTATTTCCATAAAGAGAGCGAGACATGAAAAGCAAAAGCTGTCTGGATAAGGGAAGGTCAGCCAGAGTGGGACATGAGAACTTCTCCAAAGCCTAAATGATCACACCAAAAAGGAGTATCTGAAGGTCATCCGATGAGTCTATTCCCCAGGATGAGATGAGGCACCATGGCCAACGTGACATCAAAGAATTCAGAGGCCCTGAGGCTCCGGCCCTGACTGGATGCATCAGGCCAGACCCTGGGTAATTACCAAGCTGCAATGGGATCTGATATTCATACTGGTCACAAGTCTGGCAAAGAAAACATGTTGTTTCTTCAGGCACAGCCATGAAGACAATACCTCAATAATTCATTACATGCAGACCAGCCTCGATGAAGCCCAAACTTCTACAGGGAGGACAGCTCTAACTCAGAGCAGTCATGAGTCCGTGCCCAGCCCGGGCAGGCCCCTCGGCAAAACACAGCTCCACAGGAAGTCAGCCTCAGCTTCCCCGCACTAACGAAAGAAAAGGGAACTATGTGCTGAATGAGGAGCAGGAGATGGAAAGAAAGACACACAAGTGCTCTGAAGCTGAATTCCTAAAGGAATCACTGCACCACTGCAAAACATTCTGAGCTAGAAACTTTACCCATAGTCTCTCAACTCATTCCACTTCCTGACATGGAATCAGAATGCAGCAGGAAGGACCAGGGGAACACACAGAATTCAATCTCCACATTTTAAAACAAGAAAAGAGAGACCAGAGAGGTTAAATGACTTCTTCAAGGTCACGGCCTTATTCAGGCCGCCATAGCAGCTCCCTGTTCACTATAGTCTGCTATTGGATTGGACCTCAAACTGTCACGGCCTAGTGAAGAGAGCTCTGATGGAACTCAACAGAGACAAAACCATGTGACAGAGTACAGCAAAGAACACAGTACTGAATGACTGTGTCCAAGTTCTCAACAGGGGGAAAACGTGATTTGTCTTCTTCTTTATTTCCTAAAAAGAAAAACCCATGTACAATTGTTTGCAAAATAATAGAGTCATTCACCATTTGGGATTTAGAGGCCAAATGTACTAATGATACACGCACAGTCCCAGGTTCCTTTGAGCAAAAAGGATGGAGCAGTGCCGGAGGCCAAATGCTTGTAATTCCACAGCTCCCTGCTGAAACTCATCTCTCATGGAATTTCTGGTGCTAAAAAGACCAGCCTTCCACTGGATCCCCGCTCCCGGTCAAACCATCTTGGGTATGAATGAAGGTGAGGATGAACACATCTGAGAGCCAGTAGAATTCTATGGAAAAGCAGCCTACATTTGCTTGGGAAACCCAGCAGTAAAATAATTATTCTAAGTTCAAGCCAAATGCACTCTTTTGTACAGCATCTCGACAACTCCCAAATACTTGGAAAGCAAAAAGAATGAAGGTCAGAAAAACCATGACTGCAACAGACATCAAGGGTAGAAAGAATAGCTTATAAAAGGCCTAAATTATTAACACTGGGTATAATGAGCTGGCTACACTAGATTTCATTGAGCAAATCAAGGGGCAGATATTAAGAGATCTGGGCATGATTTAAAATGAACTCTAATGGTATCAAAAGTGACCTGATCTTGTTCTACATCACCTCATGTCTCCCTCACCAACTGCAAGCATCTCTGTTTTTTTGTAGAAACTTCCAGTTACTTGGTCAACTCAGAACGTCTTGAAGCTACAAAATACAGCCTAATACATAAGGGTTGTTTTCTTTTTCTAATGATCATTGCCAAAAACCTATTTTCTTGAGGAAACTGACCGAAGTTATGCGTGGTCATCATTCAGGAAAGAGATTCTTTCTGAATGTGAGAGACATGATCAGCACTTCAGCACAGGCGCTGCAGAGGCTTTGATGGACCCTCTAGAGTCAGAAGATCTTAGAGACTGTTTAACACCCCAGGATCACAAAAACCCCAAAACTTATTTTGATTCGTTGCAAAAAAAAGTTTTCATTATAATCAAGTTTGCCCAGCTCCTTATGGATAAGGAGGCTGTTAAAAAGTTCACCAAAATGACTCAGTCTGCAGAACATTTTAGATGTGCATAACCAAGAGCAATCTTTCCCCTCAGGGCAGACACTGAACCTCAGCAAAGGAAAATAAACTTCAGAGCTGAAGACCAATGGGAGGTGGAGGACAGGACAAGGGTGGATAGGGAGGTTCCATGAGTAGGCGGTTGGTCAGAGGAGGGCAAGGCTAGGGGCATGGTCACAGGGTCTCCTGCTCAGAATTCTGCTTCATCTGATGGCTACTCTGGAACGTGGGAGCCTTTCCACCTTGACAAGTAAGGAGAAACCTCTCCTGCGAAGATAACTCCAAAGAAAACAGGCTGGCCCGACATCTGGAGGCTTCTGGAGATGTGGGAGGAGAGGAAGAGTGTGTTGGCTTTTATTCTTCTCCCTTATTTCCAACACACCACTATTTTCCAAAACACAAATGTGCTGCCACAAAACACAGCTGAGCTCCAGCACCCAGCAGGATACATAATTAATGATCAGGAGAGCAAGGTTCAGTGCACCCATACAAATCACCCTTCATCCCTGTTTTCCCTACTTCTTCCTGTAGCAGCTAAGGAGCCAGCGACAAGTTGCCGTGCCCCGTGGAAGTTTGAGGGGTCCTCAGATTAACTTTCCCAGAAAAGGTGTGTACATTCCGAGGGTGATCTGCCTCTATCTTGCACTGTTCCCCTACCCTCCTTGGTCTCCCCTCCATCTGAAATGTCGGCACTTGGAAGTCCCCTAGGATGGGAACTACTCGAACACAAGGCAGCTTGGATCACTCTTTTTTCCCAGTCCTTTCTTTTATATTCTGCAGTTTTCTATGCCCCCCTCACCGTCAACCAATGGGGGGACAACGAGGGCGTCTGTAGCGACCCAGCGACAGACCAGGAAGCCAGCCTAGCAACCATACATAAAGCGTAGCGAGCCTGGGTGCTGGTGGGCGTCTCTGCGCCAGGAATAGCTTAACCCAACATCCAGCCACCTCAAAAGCGTTGGAGAGAAAGCTTCGCGAAAAACCGTGGCCTCAGCCGGCTCTCGGGCGGACCTCCCGCTCCAGCCTCCACGCCGCCAGTGGCATTTCCAGGGACCCAAAGGGGGTGGCATGGGGGCGAGAATACAGATGCCCCAGAATCTGGGGGGCGGGGTGTATGTTCCACAAGAATATCTAAAGGATAAAGTGGGAGATGACATCAGATCACCTCGCCACGCTCCTAAAGTGGCAACCTCCTTGGGTTACCTCCGAAACTAGGGTGCATCTCCCCAACTTTCTCTGCCCCCCCGATCTCCCCACTTCCTCTGGCCATGCTCCTCCCCAGGGATTCCCGAGTCCAAAAGGTGTTCTCCCTTGCCCAAAAGATTTTCCCTTTTTTCTGACTCCACGAACTCATCTCCCCAACAGGTTTCTAAAGTGTGGGCTTTCCCCGCCGCAAGGAACCGAGCCTCGGCAGGTGAGCCGTGTGGAACACGCACTCAGCGGCCTCCAGCTTCCTCCTTGTCCGCGGGGTTGGCTCTCCCTACCCCGCACCACAGCGCTCGAGCGGTCCGTGTCCCCCACCCTGGCCGCAACCGCACACAAGCCTACAATAAACAAGACAACGGGATTGGGCGTCCGTGTCCCGGAGCGCACCGGTTGGGGGCAACTCCTCACCTCCGGCGCGCCGCCCGCTGCCCCAATCCGAGGGCGAAGGGAGAGCCAAAGAAAGGGAAAGAGGCGAGGGGAAGACAGGCGGGAATGAAGGGAGACAGGTTCTGTGAGGAGCGAGGAGGTGGGCTCCCGGGGACGCCGCCGAGAAGCACCGGGACTGGCGCAGGGGGCGGGCGCCCAGGGCGCGCCTTACCTTCGTCTTGCCCCCGCAGTGGCAGCAAACGGTCCACAGGTACTTGAGCGTCCGCCAGAGCAGGATGATGAAGAGGCCCCCGAAGAAAGTCACCATGGAGGAGGCCAGGAAAGCCCACCACATGCGTTGGCCCCGGCTGTCGCACGGCACCTCCATGGTCACCGGGATGATGAGCGCATCCATCTTGGGCTCGTGGACCGAGGACGAGGAGGAAGAGGAGGAGGATGAAGAGGAGGAGGAAGAGGAGGAGGAGGAGGACGCGTCTAGGCTGAGATGGTTCGCGTGGATATTGCTACTCATTCTAAGACTGCTGCCTCCGCCTCCGCCGCCGCCGCTGGTGCTGCCACCGCCGCTGCCGCCACCATTTGCCATAGCTAGCAACGGGCAGCCGGCGCAGGGGCTCGGGGGAGCTCCTCCCGCCGCCAGCGCCGCCCCGAGCACCCATCCACAGCCATATTGCTGCTCCTGCTGCCGCCGCCGCCGCGGAGCGCGGGGAGGGGGCGGGGAGGCGCCTGGGCTCGGGGCGCTGTGCGCGACCTGGCGGGGTGCGCGGAGATATATACAGCCAGCCGCGCCGTCCGCCCTCCCCCCGACCGCCGGCCCGCCCGCCCGGGGGGGGAGGGGGATGGAGCGCGGGGGCAGCTCCCCCTCCTCCGCCCGCGCCCCGCTAGCCCGGAGCCGCGCTGGCCCGAGCGAGGAGAGTCAGGGGGCGCCGCGGGCCGCCCGCGCCCGGGGTCTGCACCGCCCCCGGGCCCGCCCCGGCTCTGTGCGCGGGCCCGGGTGCCCTCGGCTCGGCGCGGCGCCGCCCGCCGTGAGACACGCTGGTGCGCTGCGTTCTGGCCGGGGACCTCCTCCCCACGCGCAGGTCGCGCCACTGTCGAGCCGCTTTTGGCTTATTCGGAGTCAACTCGTTAATAATGTATAATCAGTACCCTCCGCCCGGAAGCCCCCTAGCCAGCCCTCCTCCCCTAGACGCGCTCTGCTCCGGCTCCCCGCCTCTGTGCGCACTGGGCCGCGGCAGGTTCACCGCGTCCAGTCGGGGCGCAGCCGCCGCTAGCCCTCGCTCCCTTGAGCGCGTCGCCACGCCACTGAGCCTCCTCGGCCCCCGCGCGTTATTCCTCCTCGCCTTCTCCGGCTCCTCCTTGTCCCCGTTCTCGCCGCCCGATCCTCTTCGGCGCGCGCCCCGCGCTCCCCGCGCCCGCCAGCAGCAGCAGCTGCAGCGACTGGAGCGGGCGCGGGCTCAGGCCACCCGAGGCGGGAGGGAAGGAGGCTCGCAGCGCTGGCTTGCCTAGACTCAGGGCTGGGCAGGGGGGAGGCTGACCTCTCGGTGACGCCCTAGCACGCACCCCTGACCCCTCAGTACGCGAGATAGAGCGCCCTAAACCCAGGCACAGAACCCCGCAACTCTCCAATGTGCTGTGCCCCCAGCAGAGTTCCCGGGGGGGTGGGGTCCCAAAGAGGATGTCCGGGCCCCCTTGGAAGGCCATTGTTCCCAAAGCTGACCCGTTGGAGAAGGGAGGAGTGACCAGCTGTGGACTCGATTCCACAGGCCTGACGCCTCAAGATCCTCGAGACTCGGGAGTGGGGGGACCCTTCTTCAAGACATGCACCCTGGCTCGTCCCCTGCCGATCCTTAGTTCTCGCCTCCGTTCCCCCTTCCTAGATGCTCCGGTGCCCTGTGCGTGGATAGAAGGCAGGGCCATCCGGGAGGCTGCCGAGTCGCCTGTGGCCTTGACATCAGCAGGTGGTTTTTCAGCATTTTCCTCCTGAAGCAGAAGCAAAAGAGGCTGCCTAAGAAAGTAGACAAGAGAGGGGCCGCGGAGGACCTGGCCTCATGGGTGGAGCAGGTTCCAGTAGGCAATAGAGTTTCCTAAAGTCGCTTTCTTTTACCCAGCTTTAGACTCTATGGTGTGACGAGGACAGCTAGGAGAAGGGTGGCTCCAGGCTCCGTGGAAGCCCACCTTTCCCCACTTAGGGTCTTCTCTCCTCCCCCGTTACAGAGGAAGGAGTCTGGTTTATTCATCAGCCTCTATCCCTTTATCGCCAAGGGGATCCCCCTTCTGGTGTTCTCAGAAGCTTTGCCCCCGTGTGCCGCCAGCTGACGCGCAGGCTTTTCCAGTGCTAAGTAAAAGGAAAATGATCACAGCATCCCCTCATTGCCCACAGTGACTCCCCCAAAGTTTCCAGCTCATTAGTTTGAGCCTCGTTGGAATTCAGGTTCCTGTCAGCCCTTTCCAGTGATGAGGGCCAAGTTAGCATCCTTCACTGTACAGGCCAATGCTGTTCCTGCCTAAGCCAGAGCCCAGCCCCTCCTCTGATCCTTGGAGGCGCTGGGAGGCAGGAGAGGAGGGGTGGCTGAGCTGGGCAAAGAAGCTGAAGGCGAGCCTTCAGCTTCTCCTGCTTCATTAACATAGTCATTGTTCAGAACACATATCCATCAGAAAAGAGTCAAGGTCAAAGGACAAAATGGAATGATACAGAGTTCTTGAGTGTTACTCTAAAGCAGTAGGTAAAACAGAGCTACAGACAGTATTTTCCAGAAAGTAATATTACCGTTTGGTACCTCCATCCTTGTCTTCCATATTCAGCAGGCCCCCTGAAGGGATCCCTGCCAAATCAGCCCCACGCGTGCAAAGGCCCTGGGCCGTTCCATCACTGAGCTGCGGGGGGGTCATCTCCAGAAGTGTTGTGGGGATGCACAAGAAAATGACTGTGGCCTTGAGGTTCCTGGATTTATTAGCCTTCTAAATGGCTGGGCTTTGCTGCCTTTAGGCCTCCATATATGTCAGAAAAGTTAAGGACTCCCCTTAAATCAAGTCCAAGATTCGAAATTTAAAAACTAAACACTCATAACATAGAAAGAGCCGTGAAGGTTAGGACAGTTTGCCCAAGGAGATGTAGAACCCCCATAATAGATTCCTTTCCCCACAAAATTGAGCTTTACAAACCAACAAATCCCCTCCAGGCTTTCCTGGACGCCCCGCCCCCCGCATAACCCAGGTTCCCCCAGAACACCATCTGGGGCTAGCAGCAACAGGCCAAGGGCTGCTGTGATTCTGCCGCCCCAAATGCTGAATCCCCAGCTGTGTTTCCTCCTCTACCATCGCCTTCATCTCCTCATCCTTCCAGAGAGTGCTGGGAGGCCACCAGGCATCATCCTGTTTTCTTTATCAGCCCTGCCTGTGCTGATTGAAGCTTTTAGCAACTTCTGTGTTATCAAAACCTAGGCTTAGCTCGTATTCATCAGAGACCCTCGCCATCAAAGTCAATGTCCTACCATTCCTGCAATCTCCAGTCCTTCGCCACCTCTCAGATGGCCAGGCTGGTAGGCACTGAATGAGACAGCACCACCATCCACCAGAATAGACCTCATTGGGCTTTTGCCCAGCTCTCTCCTGCCACTTCCTTCTCATCCACAAACTTCTGCACCAGGTTCAGGAAACCTGGCTCCCGGCCTCACCAACTGAGGAAGAGTTTCTGCACAGGCAGGGTGGAACTTCAAAATGAACCTAGGTACCTTTCATTCATTGCATTTCCATGTTTGTAACTTGGAATAAAAACAGGAACTGCCCCACCTACCTCAAGGGTCATTTGTAAGGATGAAAGGAGAACACACAGATTTTGTTGGTAACTACAGTGACCCACCCACAGACAGCCAACCTTGGACCAGGTCTTCCTATCGACAAGCCAGTCCTTATGTGTGCTTGCACCACTCCCTGAGGGAGGTGTGTGCAGGCAGAATTGTTGCTCCCCGTCCCCACTTTACTGTTCTGCATCCCTAAGAGGCCCCCCGCTGCAATGAGTACTGAAGCCAGTCACTCTGCCCTCTGCTGCAGCCATTGCACTACAGCCCACAGGGCGCCACAAGCACCCACGTGTGGACAGTGTCCAGGGCGGGGGCAGAGCCACCCCCGCTGAACGGGCCCTCTGAGGCGTGACACACTTGCGCACTCACTACCTTCCCGCTGCCTGGGACAGCCTTGGACATGTGGAAAGTATGGAGAAGCACCTATGAACAGCCCAGTGCATCCCACCTCTTGCAAGTGTGTCTTCAAATGGGGAATTAATGGTCATTGCACAAGAAAACGAAGGCCTTAAATGAAGGTAGAAATTTCAAGCTCCTCTGTTCTGAAAACAATACAGGCCACTTAGTTATAACTACATTTATAAATGTCTCAGAGAGGAGGTCAGCCTCTTTATCATGTGAACATGTGCCTCTGGCAGCTTTCATAGCAAACCAGGGTTTCCAGTTTCTAAAGAATTCTAATCTGAACAATCCCAGCTGATTTAAAAGAAAGAAATAAAAGTCTATAAACATACAAACTAAAAAAAAGCAGAGTCATTAAAGTAATAGCCAAGGTGAACGAAGAAGCTTATTTAATTAAATCTCAGCCCAGCATCATAATTAATGTACACCGGATTTCATTTATCTGGGGCCTGGTCCCAGGTCCAACGCTCCTGGCATAAATCTTGGTGGTTTTGCTGTGGAGAAGCCAAGTGGACTCTAAGTGATGTAGCGCCCTCTGGTGGCTATTTCTGGCATGACACAAATTTGTGAATGTTTTAAAAAGTCGGAAATTTGATATGAAAATTCCAAAGAGGAAACTCCTGCTGTAAAAATCTGAAACCACAATAATATTAATTATCCATTTGCCAGGCCTGCCAGCATATAAACTGTTGTGATCAAAGCAGCTAACAGGGCTAATATTGTTACCTGATTTAATGTCCTATCTTCTAAGCTGTAACCACCATTGATAACCTAACACTCTTTAATTACCATTGTGTTATCTTTTAAATGGCTAATAGGTCTCTTCTCTCTTTTACTTTCTTTAGTCTTTATAATTTCTTTGCGATGTAATAAAGGGCAGTAGCTATTCTTCCATTTTATAGGTAAACTGAGGCTTAGATCTGTCAAGCTACTTGGCAGGACAAGAGTGATTGTAACTTTGGAGCAATTTATTTCTTTGTGATTTGTCATGATGGCTGAATACTACAGTGGTCCACCCCTTGAAGCCTAGCACAAAAGCCTGTGAGTGCCAGAAGGGAGCCTTGGTTCCTAGGACGGAGAGAAGGGCTCATAGAGCAAGCTTTGAGGGGTTTGTTTATAATAAATATTTCATATTTATATCTGCCTATCAGATTAATTCAGACTCATAATGAATTTGTAAAATAAAAGTTTCATAAATGAATATAAAAATTCCCTAGAATCCCACCACCCACAGATAATTATTATTAATATTTTTATATATTTCTTTCACACTTTTTTCTTGGGGGTGTATCTTTGCAAAATTGGAGGTAGATTGAACATCTAATTTGTATGCTATTTTTCTTTAACATTAAATTATAAACATTTCTCTCCATGTCATTGAATATCATGGAAAATACTTGTTTAAAAATAATTGAGTATTCCATTAGCTAGCATACTGCTGACATTCAGGTTATTCCAAAATTTAACATCTTTTAAAGTAAGTCCTATAAGTATGTGTAAGTGATGTCCTGAAGATTTCCACTGATATACTGACATACTAGCCCAGTACCTGTTTTCCAGAGAGGGAGCATGTGTGGGCCAGCCTGGCTGCAGGCTACCTCCCAGTCTTGCCCCCAAACACCAGC